GAAGAGCGTTTACCTCGCGCAGCACCTTCTGACTTTGCTAAGGAGTCCCCAATTCACTCATCACTTCTGTGTGTGCTTACTTAGGTACTGACAGAAGAATTTAGGAGATTATGTTGAAGCATCCAAGTTTGAAAATATGAGCTCAAGCTTGCATACTGGAGCTTGAGTCTCCCCTGAAGGCCTCAGGTCTCTAAATTATGTGAGCTAAATCACAGCCTGGGTGTGATTCTGGCTTTGGAGGTGATTTAGATTCCTTATGTTTAATGGTTAAAATTCCAGAAGTTGAGATCCATTCCTTGTAGGTGGGATAGATTAATCTTCCTGGATTCAAGTAGTACTCTTGCTGCAAGCTTATCTTAAACACTTCAGGTTGCACTTCATTTGCAACGATTCTGTATACAGTCTACCAGAGTGGGGCCCTGGTTTCAAGAAGTTATCACAGCACAAATGAATAATTATTTAAAATATTTCCTCTTCATAAGCAGCTAATATTTTTAATAATAAATATGCAAGACTGGGATGATGCAAGTGGTACCTCAAACATGTCAATAGCAAATTAGCATAAATCAGATTAACCACCCACAGATTTGTTGTTATTGCTTGATGTTCTAGATTACAGGAGGAGAGAGGAAAATAACTTTTTTCAATTACAGTAAATTTTGCAGACATTACACAAGACACATACATCCCAAACTGGTCAGTAAGATGCTCTAAACCATAGATCTATACCTGTAAACTCATATTGGAAGATGTTTTTATTAAGGTCAAAGGGGTTTTTTATCAAATGAAATGTATAAAAGTTTGGAGGATCTAATTTGCAAGTCTGACTATTCTATAGAAAGAAGAAATAAAAACACCAGGTCATACATACTTCAGCTAAGTCAGGTTACATTTTTGTAAAATTGAGTTTTCCTTGCAAATTAAAACCAGATGCAGAAAACACTAAGTTATTGTTCCTGAAATTCAGATGTTGCCTTGAGTAAAAGAAGTACCTACATCTATTTTGGTAGTCTGAGAGATTACGTTTTAAGAGCCTTAAGAGTTTCCAGTTTTCCATTCCAGCCAATTGAAACCTGTTAGGAGCATTAGTAACACATTTTCTATCTGGCTATCTCAGCAATGATGTTTACAGCTAATTAGTGCCCACTGTTGTAATAAAACTGCATTCTCATAAAGGTATCTATTTTTGGTAACGCATCATAATGAATTTTGCAACTGCCAACTGTTTTTTACTTATTCAAGTTTAATTAAAAGCTGGTAGTACTTTATATCTCTATCACTTTCATCTCTTGATAAAAATGTGACTAATATGCCTTAGCTCAGTTTTTACCTACTCTGCTGAGAGAGACCGAGAACTTTCAAGCCAACTTGTAAAAATAAGAAAACCACAGTGCTGAGACATTAACTGCTATATTGTGAATTACATTAAGCATGGATAGTAGACATATTAAAAATGCATTAGAGGACAGATCCTCTCCATTGTCATTGTCACTTCTATGACAGACAGACTGCTGCCTGCTCACCGCTTCCAGTGCCAACAACATCCTCTACCCAATTCATCTTTCTCTGACCTGGCCCTAAGTGAGTACATATTGCAATGTCAACTTAATTGATTTTTTTCCTCTTGTGCTGCGCTGCTCTGCCTTCTCACCTGCCATCAGCCAGCCACTAATCCTGGCAATCAAAGGGTAACGTTAAGCATGCGGGATTGAGTCTTTGTAAGCCTGAGCCACCAGACAGACAAGGTCTTGGCTCCCAAGAGGGTCTATTGTACTGCTGACTCCATAGAAATAACAGCAACTCATCCAGGCTGGGAAAAATCCTATCTCTGAGAGCTCCAAGAAAAACATGAATGTTATGAGGGCAAGTCAAATGC